GTTTCAGTGAACAAACTCTAGACAGATCTCATCCAGCATTAGAGCAGTGTCTAGATTTTGAGTAAGAAAAATCTTCTAAGATTATGAATATATTATACATTTATTTCTAAGTGTGTCTTATTTTCTTATTTTGTGTGTGTATGTGTAGTCTCATCTGTGTCTAGATCTGACAAACTTCTAATTTCTAATGGTCACTTCTCACAGGGACAGTCAGTGGAAATCACAGCTCTTTCTTCCTCAGATTAGGCTTTGGACCTTATAATCCTTAAGGTTAATTGCTGTTACCTCCATAAAGAAAGACAGATAATTCCTCTCATTTGGTGGAAACTAGCATCCACTAACTAGGGAAATTAAGTTATATTAGTCTACTTCAGAGGATTTTGCCTTACTCTTCCCAGAGGTCGTTTTTGTCCAGTTGCTCCCATCCTTTTACCCACTCAGACTACATCTTCACCACTAACTAAAAAAAGTCCAGGAAACAAGCTTACACATGACACTATTGGCCATCATATTGCTTAGTTGCTGGCTCACTTCCCAGCCTTGTTTTGGACCACTCCAGCTACTGCTTTCCCAGTGAAAACCTGTGTGTGACTCAGGGAGACATTTGCTTCCTACACTGTTAACAAGAGGCAGTACAGAGGTACTGCGCCATTTGGTCTCTTCTGCCCTCGAGTGCCCCATCCCATTCCCAGTAAGCTTTGCACTCCCAAATCCCCTGATCTCTCCTTATGCCACCTTCCAGGGTGTGGGGGGTGCCCTTGGTTTCACATTAGGAGAATGCCACCCTTTGGGTTGCAGCGTCAACATGTGCTGCTGGCAGAGCTTCAGCCAGTCCCTACGGGAGCAGTTGGCATGGTCAGACAGCAGCAACATGTGGCCAGTATGGCAGTGAGGGTGGGCTTGGTCTCTTTGGTCTCTGAGTTTTCTGGGCAGGTGGAAAGGGAGAATAATCTAATGGGAAGCATTGTTTCTTTCTGGTAAGTGCCTTCTCATTAAGAACAGAGACTGTGCCCCCTGGAGAATGTAGGTTCGTCTCCAACCTTTACAAAGAATAATTCAGTTATTTCAGATTGAAGCACTATCTTGATTTTGCACGGTTCAGTCATCTTTTTTGCAATAACTTAGAAGAGCCTGTGGGTAAGCATCCATGCAGGACGGGCATGCTGTTTTATGAAGGAAGCTGTAGAGATTCCCAGGCTTTGTGCTGAGTAAGTAAAGTTCAGAAATAGCACACTGCAGTGTGTTTGCCCAGAGGCAGTGCTAACTAGCCACCTAGTGCTTTCAGTGCATGGGCTTGTGTATGTGTGGAGATCTTTGCCGTGTCATGTTGACAAATTTATTTTCTTTCTTTTCTGATTCCAGTGGTTCCATTTTATTTGGGAAAGTCTGGTCAGCCTCACACATCCATAAATTGAATATGTAAAAACCTATAAAGGTCATATACAATACTTGTGACATTATTCTCATGTTAATCCATACTGGCTGTATCCTGTCACATACCAGAGTCCTTGCACTAGCGATGGTGATCCAGTCATTTGGAAATGAGATGCATTTACCCTTCCAGAAC